AAGGCCCTGCCTGTCCCCCCGCTTATCCGCCCACCTGCCCCCGCTGCCCTCCCGAGCGCACGGCCCCTGGCTCGGGGTGGAGGGGTAGGAGGGATCGTTCCCTCCGCCGGCTCTCCCGACCCGTTCCCCGGGGCCCCGCGGGCCTGGAATGCTGCGCTCCGGTGCGGCCCTCGGCGGNGGTGGGGGCCTGGGCGCGAGAGGAGGAGGTCTTGCTGGGCACTGGCGGAGGGGGCGCTTCCCAGATCCCGGTCGGCGCCGCCCTCGGACTGGGTAATGGGGGGAAGGGGGGGTCCGGATTCCCGCCTGGGCCTTGGGCCACGTGGGCGCTGGAGCCGCCCTGCCTGGGGATTCGGGGTGCCTGGGCCAAGCGGGGTGTGTGCGGGGGCACCCGCAGCTCCAGTCCAAACTCCTGTGTGACCTTGGGCCGGTCCCCCGCCCTCTCTGGGCCTGTTTCCCCGGGAAGGAGGGAGGCGTAAGTGCAGAGGAAGCTGGGAGAGACTCCCCTCTCCCCAGAAGGAGCAGCCTGGAAGTCCTGAGCCTGTGCCCCTTGCTCAGACTGGGCCCACCCACTGCTGCCTGGCGATGGAAGGACTGTCCTGGGGGTGGGGGGTGGGGTGCAGCAGGTTAGGAAGGCAGTGGCTTCCCGGCCATAAGTCAGGGTATCCCTCAGGTATAGAAGGTCTGACCTGGGTGAATGACTAGGCAGGTATCCCTGGCACCGGGCTTCCCCCCAGTCTAGCTTGGGGGACGGGGGTCTTAGGGCATGAAACACCGTGGCAACAGGGGTGCCTGACCACTCCCCTGGTCCTGCATCTTAGCCAGGCTCGCCTGGCCTTGGGGGTGGGGTGTGTGGCTGCTGCTGGCACAGCCAGATGGGGAGGGGCATCTATAGTAGCTTCAGAGAACTGGCACATCTGGCTGGAGAGGCGGACACAGCTGGTGGGCCCTGGGTGGAAGGTGCCAGGCTAGGGGGCAGCTGTGCCCTGCTGAAGGGCTGCCAGTTATGGACTCAGGCAGCATCTGTGTGCCTTCTCAAAGAAGTCCAGTCACAGTGCCTGGTCCTAAGGTTCTCGGCCCCTCGGGAGACAAGGATGGTGCTGGCTTAGCTGGGGTACTGCCTTGTGAATGGAGTCTTTGGGGCACTACTAGCCTCCAGGCTAACCCCTCCTCCTCTGCTGAAGCCAGAGGGCCCTGGCCAGGCCTTGCTTGGGCCCTGGGTTCGGACCTGCACACTGGAAGGTTGGGCACTGCCCCTTCTCCCATGGCAGGTAGGCACTGGAGGGAATTCTGTGAAGGGAGAGCAGGTGGATCAGGGCCCAGTGGCCTGGGGTGAGCTCCGCCCAACAGGCCTGGCTTTGACAAGTCCTTATCCAAGTCACTTTCTCTGCCACTATCTGGCTACTGGAGCCCCTAAGGCGCCCTGGTTACTATTCAAGTTGCACCCTGACCCCTCACCTACAGGTAGCAGCAGCTCTGGGGAGGAGGTTGGGGGGAGAGTCTGAGGAAGCACAGCTGGTCCCCTGGGGGGGAGGGTCCCCAGATACCTCTTCCTGATTTTTAAGTCATTAAAAATTCTATCTACATGGAGTAGTGTCCAGTCCAGCAGGGAAGGGTAGCCTTAGAAAAGTCAAGAGACCAGGGGCTCTGCTACTGCTCACTTTGGGACTCTCCCATTCTAAGCCTCAGTTTCTCCATCTGTGTAATAGGAATTGGTCCCAGAAGATGAGTCAGACTGAATCAGGGGAGGAAAATGGGAGGGGCTTGGCACCATATCCTAGTTAGATTGGCCAGGCCTAGCCAGGCCAGCAGCCCTGAGACAGAGGGGCAGATGGGTTGCTTCTTGGCTGGGGGGCGGAAGGCATGGTGGGACAACTCAAGAAAGATGGTGTCCATAGCCAAGGGCATGACCAGAATGGGATCTGAGTGAGTGTGGGGTAGGTGCTGCCCTGGGCTGCTGAGTGTGAAGGACGTGGGCCCAGGTCAGGTCTGGGAGTAGGTTTTCCCTGGTAGCAACTTGAGGCCCATTCTGAGGCCCATGGCAGATTCTCATTCAGGTGACTGAGAAGTTGAGAAGAGACACCCCACATACAACTCCCTGCCCAGTCTGTGCCCATGGTGGGGGTAGTGATGGGCTATGGATGGACGGGACCCAGGTTTCATCCCAGGGCCTCCATGGAGATGCTTGGGGAAGGGGAGCTGATGGCTTTGTGGCAGTGGGACAAGGTCCTCAATTTACGATGCTGTGACCCAGCTGGACAGAACCTGGAACCTATGAGGTTGGTCCAGCCAGACAGGGAGTCAGCAGATATTAATTGAGCATCTGCTGTACGCTGGACACATACAAGGGACTGGGCAGCCTGCCTGTCTGTGCCACCCATCTTTTGGGGAGGCCACTGTGGTGGAGCCAGGAGAGATTAAGCCAGTCCCTACTGTAGCAATTCACAGGTGCTAGATGTGGCCCAAGGGCTTGATAATCTGACCCATCAGACTTCAGGGGACCCCTTGGGGCTGCAGATGCGCCCGGATGGTGTGGCCTTCCAAGATGGGGCATCTCAGGACCTGGACCATACATGACCAGGAGTCTGGGGCGTAGAGGGAAAAGGGTCTGGGGCAGGCCTTGGGCCCAACACCCCGACAGAACCCTGTGTGCAGGGGAGTTGCAGGAGGCCAGGCCTGAGGCCACTGGCAGCAGCCTGGCCTAAGTCTGGCCGAGTGATGGGGTGCTGGCTGGATCTCACTAGCCTCGTCTAGTGGGGCATCAGGACCGGGTGGGGAGAGGTCACAGGCCCTGGGTATGGATTTCTTCACAGAAGTTTTTACCTCTGCAGCACTCAGGCCCAGGGGAGGCCCACTGTTGGTGAGGTGAGGGGCTCCCTCAGGGGCCGTTCCCAGGGGTACAGTAGCCAGAGGTTGGGCAGTGAGCAAGTGAGCCTGGCTTCTATTCTCCAGGTGTGTCGGGTTGGGTGGGCTGGGTTTTATTTGTGAGTGAGTGTGGGGGAGAGAACCCATGGAGCTCAGGAAATGCCTATGCCCCTACTGGGGTGACCACCTAGTCCCACTTTGCCCACAATGGCCCTGGTTTTAGCACTGAAAGTCCTGCTGCCAGGAACCCTTCGGTCCCTGGCACACCTGGACAGTGAGTCACTCTCGTCCCTCTCTTCCTCTTCCCGGATGACTTCCTGTTTCACAGTGGAAGAGCTGGAGGCCCAGAAAAGTTAACTGCTCTTTGGCCTCAGAAAGTCATGGTCAGAGTTTGAGCTCTGAGGGGCAGCTGACTTGGGCTGAATCCTGGTTCTCCCTCCTCCTATTGCTGGAGCTTTGGCTCTTTTTCTGTAACATGATGCCAGGAGTGATGGGTGAGCGCCGTGGGCACTGAGGGGCCCTGCTGACCTTGACCTGACCTGTGCCCTGTGCCCGCAGTTGCTGGTTGAGAAGACAACCGACTCACCAGCGGCCGAGTTCTCGCTGGTGGAGGACGTGGCTCTGCACTTCGCCTGCTTGATGGGCCGTCTGAATGAGCAGCGCCTCTTCCAGCCTGACCTCTGCGACGTGGACCTGGTGCTGGTGCCCCAGCGCAGCGTCTTCCCGGCGCACAAGGGTGTGCTGGCCGCCTACAGCCAGTTCTTCCACTCGCTCTTCACCCAGAACAAGCAGCTGCAGCGTGTGGAGCTGTCCCTGGAGGCGCTGGCGCCCGGCGGCCTGCAGCAGATCCTCAACTTCATCTACACGTCCAAGCTGCTGGTCAACGCGGCCAACGTCCACGAGGTGCTCAGCGCCGCCTCGCTGCTGCAGATGGCCGACATCGCCGCGTCCTGCCAGGAGCTGCTGGACGCCCGCTCCCTCGGCCCCCCGGGCCCCAGCGCTGTGGCCCTGGCCCAGCCAGCTGCCAGCTGCACCCCGGCCTCGCCACCCTACTACTGCGACATCAAGCAGGAGGCCGACACCCCGGGCCTGCCCAAGATCTACGCCCGCGAGGGCCCTGACCCCTACTCCGTGCGTGTGGAGGACGGTGCAGGGACTGCGGGCGGCACGGCGCCTGCCACCCTGGGGCCAGCACAGCCCTTCTTCAAGGAGGAGAAGGAAGGTGGCGCGGAGGAGGCCGGTGGGGCCCCCGCCAGCTTGTGCAAGCTGGAGGGGGGCGAGGGGCTGGAGGAGGAGCTGGGGGGACCTGGCTCCTACAGCCGGCAGGAGCAGTCCCAGATCATCGTGGAGGTGAACCTCAACAACCAGACGCTGCACGTGTCCACCACACCCGAGGGGAAGTCCGGGGCTGCCGCGGGCCCGGCCACCATGGTGCTGGGCCGCGAGGATGGGCTGCAGAGACACTCGGAGGAGGAGGAAGAGGAGGGGGAGGAAGAGGGGGAGGAGG